TCCCTAATGCCGCAACTCTTTAATACAGTTCCTCATATTGTGGTGACCCTCAACCATAAAATTATTTTCATTGCTACTTCATAACTGTAATTTTGCTACTGTTATGAATCACAATGTAAATATCTGATATGCAGTGTGTATTTTCATTGTCACAAATTGAACATAATTAAATCATAGTGATTAGTCACAAAACAATCTGTAATATATTGTGAAATATTTCATTCTAATTACAAATAAGTGAAATTTTGTCTTGAAGCATGGTGTAGCATGGGTAAGTCTTCACATAGGGTACTCATATGTGGGCATATCTACATGCGGGCACACCCGCCTAGAGACGATAGAGGAGCAGTGTCTCGGTTCCTAAGACCCCAGAAATATGTGTTTTTCAATGGTCTTAGGCGACCCCCGTGAAAGGGTCGTTCGAACCCCAAAGGGGTGGCGACCCACAGGTTGAGAACCGCTGATTTAGAGGCACCTCAGGAAAAAGGCTTGAAGGTCCACTCCAAAACTCAGTCGTGGAAAGCGCCATGGAGCTCAGTTCTACTCCGACAAAGGAGGTCAGCACGTGCAGGAATGTACTTGGAGGCAAAGGGAAAGTGCTAAGGCAGCTAGCCTGCATGGGCTTTTCAGCCAGGGGGCCAATCTACCCCAAACTTTGAATTGGAAAGTAAAGGTTAAGTGTACGTATTAGAAACACAGAAACGGAAACCAAACCCATTGTCATCAAGTGTATGCCAACGCACAGCCATCCTATAGGACCGAGTAGAACTGCCTCTTTCAATCTGGGAGCAGGCAGCCTCAGCGTTCTCCTGGGGAGCCACTGATAGGGTTGAACCAGTGACCTTGAGGGTCAGTAGCCCAGTCTGCCACCGGGGCCCCATCACGGTGGCGTTCTATGAAGCAAGCAGACAACCTCATCCATCTCCCGCACAGTGACCTTGCAGTCTGCAGCACAGCCTAACCCCCAGCGCCACTAGAGCTCCGTGTCATCAATGTTCCCTTCCTTTCCAGCATAAACCCTGAACACTCACTCTTAATAAGTACAGTGGCAACAAGTACTCAAATCAATCAGTAAAATCATCAAAATCGTAAAGGTTTTGGTGGAGGGCGCCAGCGGCAGAGAAATGAAGCCTGCCGTCCCCACAGAGCACGTGGCCGGACTGGCGCTGCGCGGTCGCCATGGCGGTGGCGTCCTGCGGGAGGGGTCTTGTCCAGCTGCTGACACCCAGGTTGCTGATAAAGAAACCAGAAAGTTGCTTCACAATCCGGTGTCTGCCAGTCGGCCGCAAAGGCCTGGAACACTGGTTAGAAGGGATGAAGCAGAATTCCCCCTGGCTGGTGCCCC